ATGATGAAGTGACCTGATCCATTAACTAACATCCATTGTCATTGTGTGTGCTGGTCCACATAACTATTCAAGGGCTCACAATAATTGTACCTCATCCTCATGTGGTTTTTTTTTTAATATTAATTTTTTTATATTTGATAATCATATTAAGTTTTAATAAATTTAAAATTAAATTACATTAGGGGCATATTTGGCTGAGTTTCTAGGAGTTTCAGCTTTTTGATATTATTTATGTTTCATAAGTTTAAATTTCCTTCTTAAAAACTTATATTTTAAAATTTTTTTTTAACTTTAAAAATATCTCAAACAGTAAAAACTCAAAAATTTTAAATCTAAACTTTTTATAAACTTTATTTTTACTCATTTTTTACTTACTTTTTTTTATCTCTAAAAGTAATTTAAAAATTTTTCTTTTAATAAAAATTTAAACTTATTACTAATAACAGTATTCAAAAAGTAAAAACTCTTACAAACTAAACCAAACATGCCCTCAATCTCATAAAAGAGAGAGCTCTTTTGACACCTATTTTTTTATTTATAAAACTCAAAATAAATATTTTATTTAAAAAAAATTATTATTTTTTCTTAAAACAACAGATCCTTGATTACCTTATGTGATTTCAAGTTGGTTAAATGTGAATTTTGATTCCTTCACTTTTTTTTTTTTTTGTTATGTATTTTTTTGGGCCGATTTAGCCCATACAATAAAAAGCCCAATGATAAATAAAAACATAATAATGACGACAGATACGGCCCTTTAAATAATTCGAGTCAGTGATGATGAGAAAAATCGCAGATTCGTAAAGGGGGATATTCGTTTCTTCATCACTCGAGAAACCCTAGTTTCTTTCACCGACGAAAAAACCCTAAATTTTTTCTGCAACCTAATCTGGCATGGCTAAGAAGAGAAAGCAGAGATCTTCTGAGCCTGTACCCACGGGAGTTTCCGATCCCCAACCTCAAGAACCGATACAAGAAGGGCAACAAGAGGAACCCCAAGTCATATCGGAAGAAGTGGAGGAAGTAGAAGTGGAGGAAGAAGTGGAAGTGGAAGAGGAAGAGGAAGTAGAAGAAGATGAGGAAGATTCGGATGAGCACGAGGAGGGTGAAGAGACCCTGGATGCGTCCAAGGATGGTGTTCCTTCTGCTAATGGGGCTAAAGGAGCGAGCCAACAGGAGGGTTTAGAAGAAGAGCCTATCGAGAAGCTTCTGGAACCTTTTGGGAAGGACCAACTGATTGCGCTTGTCAAGAAGGTCGTCGATAAATACCCAGAATTTATCCGGTCCGTGCACGAGATTGCCGATGCAGATCCTGCTCACCGGAAGATCTTCGTCCATGGTCTCAGCTGGGACACCACTGCCGAAACCCTAACCAACGAGTTCTCCAAATACGGTGAGATTGAAGAATGCAAGGCGGTTACTGACAGAGTCTCTGGAAAATCAAAGGGCTACGCTTTTATCCTCTTCAAGCACCGCAGTGGAGCACGTCGGGCCCTCCAGCAGCCCCAGAAGAAGATTGGGAACCGCACTACTTCATGTCAGCTGGCATCTCAGGGTCCAGTTCCAGCCCCTGCTCCGACCACCCCACCTGTTTCAGAATACACGCAGAAGAAGATCTTTGTGAGCAATGTGTCAGCTGATTTGGACCCGGAGAAGCTGTTGGAGTTCTTCAGGCAATATGGAGAGATTGAGGAGGGTCCATTGGGACTCGATAAACAGACTGGGAGGCCAAAGGGATTCGCACTTTTTGTGTACAAGAATATAGAGGGTGCAAGGAGAGCATTGGAGGAGCCACATAAGAACTTTGAGGGTCATACTCTAAACTGTCAGAAGGCCATAGATGGCCCAAAACCGAGTAAAGGTGGCTATGGTGGTGCTGGCGGGCATCATCAGCAGTTTCAGCAGCACCAGCAGGCACAGCATCAGCTTCAGCCACATTACCACCATGCCAAGAAAGGGAAGTATTCGTCTGGTGGTACAGATACTGGGCATTTGATGGCACCATCTGGGCCTGCCCCAGTTGGGTTCAATCCTGGAATGGCTGCTGGTTTCAACCCTGCTGTAGCAGCTGCACCTGCTTTAAATCCAGCACTTGGACAGGCCTTGACTGCATTGCTTGCCACCCAGGGAGCTGGTTTGGGGCTTAGTAATTTGCTTGGAGGTATTGGCGGTGCGCCAGTGAGCCAAGGTGCTCCAGCTGCAGGTTATGCAAATCAAGTTGGAGGCTATGCGAACCAGATGCCTGTGCAGGGTGGATATCAGAATCCACAGTTGGGGCAGGGCAGTGCTGGCAGGACTCAACCAGGTGGTGGTGCCCCATACATGGGGCATTAGGTGAGTCTAAGTTATTCTTGGACTTGTACTTCTTCTTGCTTGCTGATATTTTTCTACTTAATTTTATTGTTTGTTTGTTGTATTGTATTGTATTGTATTGCATACAACTAAACATGGTTTGAGGAGAAATTTTGCAACACAATGAAGATATTTGTGTTGAAAAAAAAAAAAGCTATCTCTTTTCCTCTTTCACTATGCTCAGGACAACTAATGCATTGCGTATGTTTTATTTCATGCTTTTATACTTAAAAATACTTATTGATTTCCTATACGGAACTCGATTATAGAACATGGTTTTATGGAAGGTTGAGCTGCTAAAACAATGCTCAGTTTTTTGTCCTAGATGTGTATTTTAGTTTTGCTAAAGTTATTAGATTTCAGCTTTTAAATTTCAATCATATCTTTTTTTCATAAATCTTTTGTTTTTCAAATTAGTTTTTTATGCCTATGTCTTCATTGTGCAGATTACCTCATAGATGCATCAATCATTTTCTTTTCGACTCTGCTGATTGTGAAGTTCCAGGGACTATTGCAAACGTGGTCTTTAATTTTAAATCAAAAGTTACTGTTTGCCTACTACAAAGACTCGAAATCCCAAACCTGTATTTTTCTTTTCAATTTTAGTACTTTTTTCACCTTCGCTGTTTTTCTAAAAATATGTAGTACGTTGGTTTGAGGATTTGTTTCTTGAAAAGTATTGGGGAGCAGGACATTTCCAGACTGGGGTACTTTTGGCTCTTCATGTTTTCAAGTCTGTTTGTCACTCAAATAATGCCTCATAAATTACTTATGCACTTGATTTAGTAACTACTCTCTGCTTCATATGTGAACCTGCTTGCTTCTTTATTTATTTCCATGTGGGATGAAAAACATTTTTAATTTTTCATTTATGTTCTCATGAATTTTAATCTTTTTGTTATCCATGAACTACTTGGAATCTTCTACATCTCATTATTCAAATTGCTTGAATTGTCATTTTCTGTTAGTATGGTTTTGCCATTGTTCCATAGGTAAGCTGTTGCTTCCATTAGCTTTATGCCAGCTTTGAAGGTTGCAGATTGTAAAGTTTTAAGTCTGTTATTATAACCAGTTTTATGTTGGGTATTGGATGATACTTCAAACTTCAGGTACAGTTGCCATATTGTTCTGACCTCTGGCTAACTCCATTTTTGTTTTCCTAAACATTCCACCTTTACACGGCAGAACATTCTCCACCCATTCCCTTTTTCATGACCTCACTTTATCCTTTCCATATTTCTCTTCTTGGCTGTGGGGTGAGCTTTACCCAAGAAAAGGTTTTCATAGAGTTAGGCCTAGTTCAATGATGATTAGGGAATCGCCAAAAAGTGTGTTTGTGTTTTCACCAAACAATTGTCATCTTGATAGATGCTTTTGAGTTCAAATATTTTCTATATGACAAGCTCTGCAAAATAAATTGCTATGGTAAAAATGTTTTGTCAAATGGGTAGCCACCTAGCCTACCATACAAGAAACCCAGGAGGAGGTCCTGTCCCTTGTGTCTGTCAGTAGTGGCTTGGATTGATCTGTTGCAATTATTTTCTTTTAACACCAGTATTGGAAGGACATCAAGGGTTTATTTGGAAACCTCACCTTTGTGAGTGTCCGAGAGACGTAGCATTGGGGGAGGTAAGAAGTTGTTGTCATGGCAAAACCTCATCAGACGATTATATCTTGGTCTACATCTGGGCTACTAATTGTTCCAAGGTATGAAGCTGATCCTTCTAGCCTTGGTATGAGAGTTAGGTAAATTGATGTCTTCTGATCAATATTCTTGGCTGGGAAGTGTGTATGAATTGTGGGGGTTAAGCCTTAGTCTGATGAGATTGGGTGTAATTGTAGACCTGTGTAGCAGAATGTTGTGTTTATGGGGATAGTAAATACAGGAGCGAGTGGGGGATGGATGGGTGGGTTGATTAGGAGATTTTTATTTTGTTGATTCTTTGGACTCAAAAGGAAAAAAAACAAAAAAAAGTTGGCGTATTTAGAAGCCTATTTATGGTGTCTGCGTCGGTATGGTATAATCTCTTCGGAATCCCCCATTTTATTTATTTATTTTATCTTTTTTGGAAAATGCAACATACCCATACATTGATTTTGCAGAGCAAAATTGATGCCCCAGATTCTCTTTTCTAAACAATCCATTCTGAAGTAAATGCTTGATATAATTAGAGTGAAGTTGCCATCCTCACATGTGGCAAAAAAAAAGGAAGAAATAATTATTCTTATTTTCTTAAATAAATTTCTCAGTTCTATTTTATTTCTATAATAATAATTTGATTAAGGAATTGTCATTATTCTCAACGAAACATATCTTTTTTTGCATTTTTTCAAACCGGCTTTTCGAATCCAAATGGTTGGCTCCCAAGTCTTTTAAGGGTTTGGGTTTAGTTGGTCATAATTTCGAATTCTATCAACACTTTGAAAATTCCAATCCTCTTCCCCAAAAGTTGTAAACTGTTAAAAAAGAATGTCCTTTTGTTCTTGTATTTTTAGGTCACAATCTTTCGTTCCTAGAAGAAAAGTGTTTGAGTAAATCATATATTTCATTTCTAAGTAATGCTTCTTTACATCATCTAAATAGCAAATGATTTTCACTTTTATAAAATCTATAAATGGGTGTAAACACTAACATTGTAAGTATTTTTCTGTTATTGCCATTTATATGCTATGTCATAAGAATCACTTGCGAATTCACTCAATGGCTTGCTCGGTTACCCTTATCTGCAATAAAGGAAGTCAATTTTTGAATTTTTTTTTCCTCAACAAATTTTATTTTTCAATTTATAAGGTAATAATTTATTACTTTTTAAGCTCTACAAGATCAAGTGAGATTGTAAAACACTAAGAAACAAAACAAAACTCGGAGCACAAGAATTTCCAAGCACCCAAAAGTTTATTTTCATTGACTGCAAGCCTCAAGTTATTTTAAATTGTATGCTATAGAATTTATACAAAAATATTTTTTAGAGTTTATAAAAAAGGTTAAAATATTAATTTGGCCCTTTAATTTTTATTCAAAATTATCCTTGAACTTAAAAAAGTATCAAAATTATACTTGAATTTTAATTTTTAGTACTAAAATAATCATTATGTTAATAAAAGTACCATGTGATTTATTATCTTTCTACAAAATCAATTCTTTTTTAAAATATTAATGACATGTAAAATGAAACAATTATTTTTTATCATCATAATATATTTTTATTCACAAATCAAATTGACATGTAATTAAAGTTGAATAACTAAATTGATATTTTTAATCAAAGTTAATGAACTAGATTGGTATTTGCCTTCAAAGTTTAAATACTAAATTGGTATTGAATTAAAGTTTAGGGACTATTTTAGTATCAAAAATTAGAATTTAGAGCTAATTTTGATTTTTTTTAAATTTTAAAGATAATTTTAATAAAAATTTAGAAGTTAAAGGTACCAAATTAATATTTTAACCTAAATTTTTACCGTCTAAACTACCCAAAATGTTCTTCACATCTTAATAGGATGTAGTCGAAAATTATTGAAGACACATCTTAAAGAATTGACCCGGACTGTAACCGGTAACCCGACCCATGTCATGAACTAGGGTTTTGGGTCTTTTGAACCTAAATCCCTATCTCCACGCCAATGTTCGCGACTTACATTCACTCCAATCTCTTTTCCTGTAAACAGCCAAAATTAAAAATTTTAAATTAAAATTTAGAGATAATTTTGATATTTTTTTAAAATTTAAAGATAATTTTGATATTTTTTTAAAATTTAAAGATAATTTTAATAAAAATTTAGAAGTTAAAGGTATCAAATTAATATTTTAACCTAAAAATACATTTTACCGCCAATAACTTGGTCAACTCATTTTATTAGAAGTAAAAGGTCTTGAATTCGAATCACATAGCATATGAGTAGAATGAAATAAAAAATAAGAGATAGTTGTCTCTTATTATATAACAAAGAAATAAATAAATAAATAAACATTTTATCGTCTAAACTACCCAAAATATTCCTCACATCTTAGTAGGATGGTAGTCTAAAATTACTGAAGACACATCTTAAAACTTTGACCCGGACTGTAACCGGTAACCCGACCCATATCATGAACTACGGTTTTGGGTCTTTTGAACCTAAATTCTTATCTCCACACCAATGTTCACTACCTAGTACCTGCATCCACTCCAATCTCTTTTCCTGGAAACAGCCAAAATTGTTGCTAACGCCACTCCAGTTTTGGAAACAAGGGTTCCTCACTTCTGCAACTATCAATCTTCGTCTGAAACTCAAAACTCTCTTTCTTCTTCTTCTTCTTCTTCTCCACTCCTCCGCTGTCGTAAACCCATTAGAACCCTAATCTCTCATTCATTCCATTCTTAAATTTGGTGAATTTCAAGGGGGATTATGGTGATGGCGGAGAATGAGGCTGGAGATGATCACAAGGAGTTGAAGTCTCCATGGAAGACTCCCGTGATTGACGGGGATAAGGCGGCTGAAGCTCCTGTTATGGGAACAGAGTCTTGGCCTGCTCTTGCTGATGCCCATAACCGAAGCAATACCCCGCCAGCTGCCACTTCTGCTCCAACCACTGCCCAGGTTAATTCTTGTTTTGGGTTGTATTTGTTTTCTTAAAATCATGTATTGAGCTTGAACTCAAATAGTTTTGGTGATTATTATTGTCATATAGTCTTGAATTTTATTTATGGCCTAAAAAGATCGTGACTTTTTTTCTTTTTTTTTTTGGTATTTGATTCTGTTTAAAGATTGTGTTTTTAATTTTTTATTTATTAAAAGTTTTAGCAAAATTTTATATTGAGTTTAACCTGTATGCATTTTTTCTGTTCCTTCCTTCTCTGTTTGCTCTTGTACAATTGCATATGTGCATGTCTGTTGTGGATTTTATTGTGCCTAACCAATGAATCTTGATTTATTTATCTTTCCTTCATCTAATCCATTAAATGTTCTATCTTTTCATTCTAGCTTAATTTTAAGTATTAGTTTTATTCTTGTGGGTTTCCAGGGAGCAGCAGGCCAGCAGAAGTCAAATGGGTCTGAAAACAGTAATCCTCCTCATAAACATTCTTCAGTACGGCATCAAAGGTCTGGCTCTAAGCGCAATCCAAATGCAGTGCCACCTTTTCCTGTACAATACCCTCATCGTCAACATCTAGGACCAATTTTTCCTGCAATGTTACCTCAACCACCCATTGCAATTCCTGGGTTTGCTTACCCACCTTTACCTGGACACCGTCCTGGATCCGAGACAACAATGCAAACCTTTGCCCCTCCAGTTCAAGGCATTTATGCCAGCAGAAACATACAGCCTCCTCCAAGGGGAGATCCTGATCCTTATGCCCTCAGTTTTTCTCATAGAAGGCCCAACATGCAAGAACCCAGTTCCCATTGGAATCCTGCCTGGCATAATCAGAGAGCACTTAATCCTAGAGACAATGTTCGTATGCAACAGGGTATTGGATCAAGACCTTTTCCTAGACCTCAGTTCCTTGGTCCAGTAATGATTGGTCCTGGAATCCAGGGTAATGATTTTTACCCTCTATAATGGTACTTTAATTCAAATCTTTTGTTGCTTTGTTGGCCTTATAATTCATTCATAATTCTGTCAGCAAGGTAATGCATGCATTTCAGCCACTCAGTATTAGATACTACTTACCTTATCGTGAATGCACCACTGATTATTTTTGTTTCATTATCAAAATGAACTATGTTAGAAGTGATTAATATCCTCTGTTCCAGGACCCATATACTACGTCCCTGTTGCAACTCCAGGCCCTATGAGGGCACCTTATCTTCCACGTTTTGCTCCATTTCCTATGAGTCCAGAGGCTTCTATGCTGCCTCCAGAGACAGTAGCATTGAGGGCAAATATTGTAAAACAAATTGAGTATTATTTTAGGTAAGACATGGGAGAAAGGCTGCTTTTGTTTATTAATTTCTTTTTCAACTATGCATTGTATTGGTATCACTGCTCAAGACTGTCTTTGGAAACTTCGGAGTACTAAATTGATGTTGTTTATTTTTTTTTTTTTCTCCCTCCCCTTATTAATGCTCAACTCTTTGAAGAACCAAGCATCAGTGTAACAATTCATTCTACGAACTCTGCTTGGGAAAATCTTGAGTGAATGACTTGATGCTCCTCCTGGCACATGTTGGCGTCCATTTCTTGATAGCCTCATCATGCTTATAGATTTTCACCTTATTATCTACTAACAGTATTTATCTGTTAAAATGGTATATTTATTTTTTGTTGATTATAAGTTTTTCTTTGGCAGTGATGAAAATCTTCAGAATGATCATTACCTAATTTCCTTGATGAATGATCAAGGATGGGTTGCAATATCTGCTATTGCAGACTTTAAAAGGGTATGTTTCAATGCACCTCTCCTTACTTTTTACGTTAAAATAGAGTATATTGAGCTGAATCAATATTCTTAACTTTCTGAGTCTCAGGTTAAGAGAATGTGTAATGACATACCATTTATCCTCAATGCCCTGCTCACTTCTAGTACTGTGGAAGTGCAGGTCAGATTTCATGCCTACACTGGGTTTTAATTAATTCTGAAATTGCTTAGTAGCTATAGTTTTGGTTATTGTTTCTTTTTGGCCAGCATCAACATATTTTCTATTTCAATAAATGTTAGCATTATTTATCTAACACTGCTTTTGAAATGCACAAGGTTATTTTTATCACAATAAGAAAAGGTTCTTCTGTAGCAAAATATAGTAGAATTGTGTTATTGACTTACTGAGATTTCTGGTTAATCTTGTTAATAGGCTGTGCATTGTCCAATCCAAGATTTTTATGATAATTTTGGTTGAAAGTTTCTGTGCAAAAAGAAACTTTTTTTCTTCAAAAATTAACATTTTTTACCAAGGTAAAGTCAGATCATGAACTTCTCATTCTTGATGAACATAAAGTTATATAACTGTACAAAATTTGGGTATGGCTTTTGACGTTGCTAAAATAACTACAATTCAAGTTGGTGGATTTGGGTGCATCCACTTCTAGCTTAACATTTTTCTTGTGTTCTGTCTAGTCAAAAAAAGACTAAATGAGATTATCTCTAGAGCCAATTCAAGTTGCCAACTATAGCAGTAGTACTAAAGCATTAGGGATTATGTTAGTGAGTAGTCTCACTCTGCATCATTCTCTTTTTTTTCTTGGTCCACATCTGTGCCATTCACTTGGTGTTATTGTTTCAGGGTGACAAGATACGGAGATGTAATGAGTGGTTCAAGTGGATTCCTGCTAATGCTACTGCTGCATCCAATTCTGAAACTCAAGTCAATGTAACTGACCCTTGTGGGAATGCCAATGCCAATGAAGATGATCGAAGGGGAAATACTGGAGAAAATGTAGAAGGCCCATTGAATAATGTAGTTTTGGAGAGCACATCATTGAGCCAAGATCCTTCAGCAGTATCATGTAAAAGTAACAGTGAACCCAACACTACAAATGTTTTGTTAAATGTTGAAAAGCAAGAGTTTTCTGATGAAAGTGCTGACTTGGATAGAAAGTCAATATCTGAATCCAACATGAAATTCTCAGATGTGAATGAGTCACAAAGAGTTGATCATGCTAGAATTAGTGACCATGCTAGAATTAGTGACCATGGAATTAGAAGCCAGGAATTACTATCTGATGTGGCTGTACAAAATTATAGTGACCTGTCAAATGATTTTGCAAACACATTTATGCTTGATGAAGAGCTAGAGCTTGAGCAGAAAACACTAAAGAAGGATGGTTTTTCACCAGTTAGAAGGTACTAATTTTTTCTGCTGTTTATGTGGCACATTTAACTTTATTGTTTAACCATGTAATTTTTCCTTTACCGAGTACACAACCCAATTGTTTTTGAGCTTGAGACTTCCCGGTTTGAAATCTTAAGTAAAAATTATAATTTTATAGAAAGGCAGCTCTGGGCCAGTGGGCTCAAGAAGTATTAGATCATGTTGAGATGTGTCATGGGTTTATGTTTTTCCAATCGAAGGGAGATATACTCAGTCCAGATTCTGGTTATTTTATCAAACTTTGACAGTTGGTGTCTTCATTTTAATTTTTTTTCTTAAACTTTGTATGAAAGAGGTCCTATATATTCAGATTTAGGATTCAAAATCGTTTCTTTCTTGTCAAAATGCAATTCTATGCTGCTTAGTGCATGGATTTGTAGTCATATTGGTTCAGAATGCATTTCCTTCTGATTAGTTACTCCTCAAATGTCAAGTTTTGGTCGTATATTATCCAAAAGAATTAAGGAGTAAGATTCTTTGTGCAGAAAATACTGAATAAATTTTGTGGTCTCATCAAATTTTCTGTTCCTTGGTTTGTTAGTGTTCAGGTGAGGATGATCAGGAGTGATGAGGAGACTATCCTGTTAGTTAACGGAGAGATAAAGTTGTCATTTATGATTTATTAAAAGAATTTTTTGAGAAGGTGCAACAGGGTTCTGTTCTTGAAATCCTGAGTTGAGAGGATGGAAAAGTAGTTGATGTTTTTCAAGTTAACAAAATTCATTAAGTTACTTGTGTTGGAAAACCCAGCATAGATGGTGTGCTTCTTTTATTCATCTCAATTAAGTTTCATTGGCTTATACAATATATAGAACTGTTGCCAGAAATAGTACTGCTGACCATCAAATCCTATTTTGCCCTTATTAATATAGTAAGGTTATCTCCAGATTGTGGCTGTGCCCTATGAAACACATTTGCTTATTATTTCCTGCTTCCTGCTGATATTCATGCTAAAAATGAGCTCCTATATGCTAATAATGTTTCCTCAAACATCTTGATAGTTGTTTTTTTCTTTGCCAGATTGGATGAGGAAGATGATGAAATGGTTGTCAATGATAAGGCTGTTCAGAGACTTGTAATTGTCACCCAGGTAAAAGGGTAATCGGTTTGGTTAGGGATTTTTTTATCTTTTGCCTCACTCCTTTAATTTTGCAAATCTCATATAACAATCTATCTACAATTTCTATAGATTTCTCCATTTTCAAAATCCTTGAATATACTGTGAAAATCTAGGAAACAGTTTGCTTGCAGTAGCACCCCTGACTACTTTCTTCCATTATGCAGAATAATGGCATCTGTGAAGGATCAGAGACAGCCAGCCAAGATTCTAAATCAATCACCAGTGAACTTGCTGCTGCAATAAACGATGGGCTTTACTTCTATGAACAGGTTGTTGACCTATTGTTTTCTTTATAATTTTTTTAATTGGCATTTATTCATATGCTCCTCCTCTTTAGCATTTCTGTAATCAAAACTAAAATTCTTTGCACACAATTATTATTGGCAGGAACTAAAAAGTAAACAATTTAGCCGTAGAAAGAATAACCTTATACATGAGAACAAAGATGGAAATTCAAAGTCTCCAAGATTTGCCTCAGGATTATCATCATTGAAGACTGGTGAACATGCTTCTGGAAACGGTGGTCTTGAAGAGTCAGGAAGTGCCAATTCTCGAAGGAAGCAAAATAAAGGTTTCTTCAAGCAACAGTCATTCCATAAGCAAAGATTTTTCTCTAGCAGCTTTAAGAATCATGGAACCAGTCATAACTCTGGAATAATTTCTGAAAGTCCACCAAGCAATTCAGTTGGATATTTCTTTGGTTCAACACCTCCAGATAATTATGGGTCAGTTTATGTGACGGTTGGCTTCCTGCTTGTTCAACTAAAAATTCTTTTGGTTAACATGTTAGTTGTTACTTATCTTGCTTTTGAGAGTGAAAGATGATGCAACTATTGGTTTCATAAGTAATCATTTTTAATCTACAAATAACTGAATGATAGAGTTTGGATGTATGTCTACCTTTTGAGGTTTTTCCCGAGCTCATGCGAATCCAATTTAAATTTTACAGTCCTCGGCCTTCAAAGTTGAGTTGTTCACCGCATGGATTTCTCTCTGGTAGTAGCCCACCTGTGGGTTCACTACCAAAGTCATTCCCACCTTTTCAGCATCCAAGCCATCGGCTGTTAGAAGAGAATGGTTTTACGCAACAGATGTAAGGAATGATAAACTTTTTCCTCATTCATTAATTTTTATTTTGCATGGTCTCACTAACTGATATGTGGGCATTATGAGGCTTCTTATATGCATGATGCATATAAGTGCTATACAGCACATCTTACATTAGCCCCTCTATTTGTATTGATTAGAAAAGGTAGCTCAAGTAGTTGTTCTTATATTCAGGTACCTGAAATTTCATAAGCGTTGTCTAAATGACAGGAAGAAATTGGGAATTGGCTGCAGTGAGGTAAGTTTCAGACCTGAAATTTTTTCTCAAAATATTTTATTGACCCATAGGTAATGTTTGGTTCAATGAATGGGTACTCCGTGGTTGTTGCATGAAAACAAGGGACAATAGAGGAAAACTATGGCATTATTAATATCTATTTGTTCTAGGAAGTCAGAATAAGGTGGGAATAACTAAGCATAGAGAAATGTGGTCTAGCTTCTCCCACTGTATTCATATCTTTCCATACTCTCCCAGTCTTCCTTTATTTTTCCTTATTTCCATGCAATAACCACAGAATAGCCATTAATTAAACCAAACGTGATATTTGTGTCATAACTGGAAGCCCATTCCTTTCGTATTCACTTCTACCTCCCTTAAAGTCCAATCTTTTTTATGAGGAAGTTTTCAGTAAGTTTTCTTTTTATCGTGTGCTGGTTCAATATTCCAGTTGAAATTCAGGACTGATTTCTGGTGAATAGGATAAGAAGCTCTGCCTTTTCATTTAAGTGGTATCTCTAGATATGTAATGATATATTTGTTTGTCCATTTGAGATGCCCTTTGGTTTTGCATGCAGGAAATGAATACATTGTACAGGTTTTGGTCATATTTCCTCCGAGAGATGTTTGTTCGCTCTATGTATAATGAATTCTGTAAATTTGCTCTTGAAGATGCTGCCGCTAATTACAATTATGGGATAGAATGTCTCTTCAGGTTCTATAGGTATCATTGATACTTAAATTTCTTCATTTGCATGGCATTGTTGTTGTTATGATGAATTTATCTCATTCATTGGTTTTGGATATATATTTCATATGCTTTTTTTATCCAATTCTTCCTCTTTTTTCAGTTATGGCTTGGAGAAGGAATATCGAGAGGACCTATACAAGGATTTTGAGCAGCTCACCCTTGACTTCTATCATAAAGGCAATCTTTATGGTCTTGAAAAATATTGGTAATTATTCCGTTTTCCTATTGTTTTAGTTCTCAGCTCAAGGCCACATTTCAACATGCATTCTCTTTCCAGACCAGTCCTATGCCACATCCCTTGTTTTTCTTTTCATTTACTTAGAATTATCTGACAGGGCATTCCATCATTATCGCGATCAGAGAGAGCCTTTAAAGAAACATCCAGATTTGGATAGGTTGCTGAAAGAAGAATACTGCAGTTTGGATGACTTCCGTGCCAAGGAGAAGAGTGCAAGCATCAAAGAGGACAGCCATTAGCCAGTGGTGTTCAAATTACTTCTCACAATTTTGAAAACCAAACCCTATAGCTGGAGGAAGTTGGAGCTCATGACCTGTGTGTTTCATTTGGTTTGTACAAGGAGGAAAAGAAAGTTTTTGTACGCTATTTGTAGTGGGGATTGTTCCCACCACGTCTGTGAAGGCTGCTGCTGCTGACTCCTGACCTGAGGCCTAGAAATTTGTCATCCTGAAACATTTTTTTGTTTTCTTGAGTAGTCTTGCCTGCAAAGCTTGAGGAGGTGGCTGACTGGTTGTGCATTAATTTGAGCTTACCCTCAGCATTTTTGTACATATGGTAAAACTAACAAGGCTCAATATGAGAAAAAGAAAACATTAAATTATGGTTGTACTGACCATTGAAAATTAAACAATAAAATGGCCAAGTTTTGACCTTTGCACATCAGTTCAAACTCTTATTCTTCCTTTTGAGTTTGCCCTATTGGTGAGATTGCGTTTTTAAAATTCAGAACTTTCCAACTATAGGTTCTTCCGAATTGGGTTCCTCATATTAGTGATGGCAAAGGATCCTCATGGGGGGTAGGGATTCCCTCATCTGCTTTTTCATCAATGGCAAGTACAAGGATCTTTATTGGTAGGGATGAAGATCTTTACGGAAATTTTTTATAGAGGATAAAAAATACCTTTCATCTTTATTTCTCTGGGAAATGATAAATCATTATGGATATATATATTGTCCGTTAAATATTAAAATTGTAAAATTTCATTTCATTTTTTTAAAAATAAATTTTAGAATATTATATAGAGTAATTCAGGAGATATAAAAATAAAAAATTACAGAAATAAAAAGCATGCAAAAAATTTCACAAACACCATAAAAAAGGTAATATATAAAGAAATAAAAAAAAGAGTAAAAATTTTAAATAAGCAAATACATACAACCATCTAACAAATATATATAGTCCAACAAATCTATAAAAAACAGTATAAAGAGTATGAATTTGAAACAAATTGGGTTTTATATTTTTATAAATTATAATATAATTTATATAGGTTGAGTTAGGTAAAAATTAATTGAGTTTTATGTTTTTGTAAATACGTTATAATTTATAAAAATGTAAATTTATATATATTTTTTATTATATATGAGTCCCACAAAGATTCATAGGGTGGAAGAAATTCCCCTAAAAATTTTGTGGGGAAAAAATTTTCTCCATCCTTGTCCCTCAAAAAAAAAAAAATCTCCGAATCTCTATTCTCATGTAACTTTATAATTTCGAAGTAAATTGCCATCCCTACTTGTATATCTCTGGTTTTCCAAGGAGAAAATCTTATATATTGAAATTCCGCAAAGCGGTTTTCAGAATACTGATTTCTTCCCCTCTTTTCGTAATTAAAACAATAATTTCTTTGATCCAAACCGGTGTCAACTTCATTTCCAAAACTGGGTACCATCTCATTCTGATGTATGGAAGAAAGAGTTTTGAGAAGATGGAGGGGTTGAGGAAGAAGATGGCTTGTTTAGTCACGGCAGCAGAGATTGACAGATTTGCAATCATAATAGATTAGGATTTTCTATGGAACTCTCTGACCCGGTTTGTTCAGTTGATGCCAAAATCTGCACGTATTCTGAAAACCAAGGACATTGGACTCCCAAACAAATGCAAATCTTATGAAAATGGTTGCTTACGTCCGTAGCACTTAAACCAAGAGAGCTTCAAGAGGGAAAAGTGTGGTGAAAATGGTAGCCTGGAGGAAAACCCTTGCCTTAGTGCTGGTGGTGGTGACAATGCCATGCTCAAAGAGTGCCAGCAGCCAACCCTCCACCGAATGGGAGGGTGATTGATTGGCTCTGCAAGTCC